TTCGGGACTACGACCTCCTCACAGCCTCCCCTAAACACCCGCGACGCTCCCGTGGCCTCAGAGGCACCCCCCCAGCCCCGACAGACCCCTGCGCGAACGCGTCAATCACGTTCAGGGGCGTTCAGTGAACGCGCGTTCACAGCGTTCAAAAACTGAACGCGGAACGCGCGTTCAATGAACGCGCGGTAACATAGATGGCCGATGTTTAAGAAGGCGGCCATAGCCAAGGAGTAGAGGTGGTCGTATTCTGCTTCCTGGTTGATTCTGTTTCTTTGTAGTAGGGAGGCATCATACATCATTTTTAGAGCTTGTCGCAGACGTTCTTGTGGGGGAGACAGTGAGGAAATATGAAGCAGCTGCACTTCGCTTGTTGCGGAGCGAGACTCTTGGTGGGAGCAAGAAGGAGTCGACGTGCTTGCCAGCCGTAGATTTTGTATCATAGGAAGACTGTGTTGAATCTTGATTTGCATACTTCGTAGCAGCGAGTCGCACAGACTGTTTCATTCTGAATCCAATTGTGTAATTTGTGTTTGATTTGTCATCCTTTTTTTTCTTTTCTTTTTTTTTCTTTTTGAAAGCTGCACCAGTACACCACATATCGGCCCGTGGGTGTCAGCATGAAACCCGCACCTCTTTGGAGGCTGCCATTTTTCGCCCCCCAACGGCGGGCCTGGCCGCAGGGCGCCTCCGAGTTTTGCTTGCGGCGACGAAAACTTTCTGCAAGGCTGGGGCCGTGTACTAGCGGCTTAACGTCTGTATTGGTCTCCATCTATTGGTGCAGAGCTGCACCTGCTGGAAAACGGGTCCAGCGTCGCTCGTACAATGCTCATCTTGAATCTGTGACTGTGTGAGTTTGTGTGAGTTGGTCTCGTGGGGCTGACCCACCATAACCGCATCATCATCTATACTCTTTTTTTTTTTTTTTTTTTTCAAAGTAAAGCGGGCTAAAGCCAGCTCACTAGAAAGGATGATAGGAGCAGAGCCCCCGCTACTAGTGTCCTGGCACCTGCTCAGCTCCGAGCTATTGTGGGGAGCGGCACATGCTGGAACCCGGGTCCAGCGTCCCATTTGGATACAAGCATCAGTTACAGAAAACGACAATCTTTCAGGGTCAGGTGTGGGTAAAAAAGAGCCAGGGGAGCGGTGTGAATCAGCAGAGGTCTCCTCCAGGCGGCGACCAGAGTAGCCTTTGTGAGTCCGGGCTCCTCCTTGAGGCTCCTTCCCAAGCCACCCTAGTTCAACTAACCCCAAACCCCCCTCCCTTATGGGGACTGGGTCCGGAAAATCTTACACATGTCTTCATCGGAGTTCTAGACAGATCAATCTCCATCCACTTCAAGCCGCACAGGCGGTAGTAATCTCGTGGGCTCGGGTCTATGTCCCGGCTGTCCCACCCCAACCAAATTACCACAGCCATCCTCCAACCCCTTCCCCCCCCCCCCCCAGCCAATCCTTGCAGAACTCTGTGATTTTTTGGGTGAGGTACTTTTGCTGAGTTACACGTTTGACCGTCTCACTAACTATTTCCCCCCTCCATTCTGATTTCGGTTTCTGCCAGGCTGCAGACCATGTGCCTCATTTATCCTTCCCCCACCCGCGCCCCTTCTAATGCCCGTATACACCGTCTCCACCAGAGGGCCCAGAGGACCATTTTTGGGTCCAGCTTAACGACGTTGGCTGAAAGGGAACTCTTTTGGGCCAGTACTCTCATGTGTGTGTGTGTGTGTGTGTGTGTGTGT